TTTTACCCCGCTGCTATATCTCTTGACTCAAGAGGGTCATTAGGCCTGGTCCTGAAAAGAAGGCAGCTTTACAAGAGCAAGAGTATGTCTCTTCCTGATCGTCGTACTAGGATTCAGCCGCTATCTGGATATAACCAGGCCTATCTGAAGTAGTCCGCACCGTATTTGCTAAATTATATGGCTCATATGTTTTCTTGTCCTCCTTGGACGAGTCCAACTCCTCATCGAACACCGAAAACCGCTTATTTGACACTACTGCGGACCGCTGGTGCGAAGCCCAAAGGGTTTCGTCTCCCAAAGGGGTTAAGTAACTCATGGTTGCGCTACCATCGGTACAGGAGGTGGACTCGAATCGTTTGAAGACCGACTGGGTGGTGTGTAGATTGACCTAAATAAGTTCCGCAACTTCGACAGTATGATCTCTCGAAATTGGCGGGGAGGAGGCCTTAGCTATTATTGTTGACACGTCGGCTTGAGCTGACGTGTTGGCTAACTCGTGAGCTAGAATGTGGTCTTTTGCCATTTATTACATCTGCGCTGTGCTACTAAACGATTTGGCCAGGTCCTTGATCTCCGTAAGGTCGCTCTCCTTAACCTCTTTTCCCAGGTACCTTCAGTTGGGCATACGTGTAACCAAACCTTATCGCCGTGGGCCCTACCACCCCGCACTTAAGTCATTGTAGACGTCGGCCAACTTCAGGATGTTAAAGAATAAACGTCGTCCTATAATAAAGTAGCCGAACCATCCTTTCGAAAAATATTAGACACACGTCCAGCTAAAAAGGTAATTCTCAAAGACTTGAAGGGGCGAGACATCGGATAAAACGTGTCCATATACTCGAATACAAAACGCTCGAAAATATTTGACCTCAGTTAAGCTGCGACACGACCAGCTATATAGATTCGGGCAAGGTTATATTTACGACTGTATACTCAGCCCCATGATTCAACTATTGCCCAGTCGGACCTTGCTGACACCTCCAAACAGAACCACCCGCGGGATGGTTCGCATTGGATAACAGGTTTATTTGACCTTTAAATGGTATGCAGACATCATCAAAACGCACAGCTGATTCCAGAGAAAATAAAAAGAAATGGACGGCGTTCATCGAGCGGTCGTAGATTATAGTCCTGGTCAATCCTAAAAGGTTGTGGAGCTTCGACAGGCTGATCTTAGCTAATTCCGCTGACCCAAGGATCGTTTTAGTGATAGATCGGACTGTCCGCCGGCTGATCAAGATGCCACGATCATGGCCAAGTTTGGGCACCAAGTGCCCTTACACTTGAGCATGTACCGTAACGTAAAGACATTATTGATCCGAGCCGTCAAAACCTCCCATAAGAAATAAGACATGTGACGACAGGCTATGTGACCTTCAGCTATTCGGATCATGACCCTGTGGTAACGCGATTACAAGATTTTACCGTTGAGTTGGGCTTGGGGGCACACAGATTTCCGGCTTCAGTTAAGTCCGGAAAGGACTCTGATTGGAGGATACGAGCTGGGACGGGTAGATCACGATCGTGTACTCAAACGTACCAGATCGCGATATCGTTGATGGCGAGGGTGTGATATGTAGTGACTCTGAGATGTCTATGTAACCTAAAGACGAATCTCACCGGAGTTTGCGGAATCACTGAAGGTCACGATCCCGATCCGAATCCGCGATCCCGATCCCGATCTGCGATCCCGATCCAAATCCGCGATCCCGGTCCGAACCCGCGATCCCGGTCCAAATCCGCGATCCCGGTCCGAGCCCGCGATCCCGGTCCAAATCCGCGATTCCGATCCGTGATCGTGATCTTGGAGTCAGCTGCGTACAAGTCGGGTGTGGTACACGCCAATGTTCCAGAGAGAGCGCACTTGGTGTAATCCACATAGGTACAAAGGGGCGGTCTTCTGGAGAGGGAGATGCGTGGCCTCGAAAGTCGTGATATAGATAGGCCTATCGAGGTGTTAGTTTTCGGTCTGGTTAGTTAACATTAAACAGAGTTCACTTGGCTTCTAAGTACACATGTTGATTTTTCTTCCGGGTTGGATTACTGGCCAACCGACGTCAAGAGAAATTGCATAATTAAATCAAGTGGTATCCCTGAATTGTTTGGCCAGTGATCGAGGACTCTCAACCAAGAACCCAGACTGCGATTGGACGCAGCAAATAAGTAAAGGCGAAGGGTGAAAGATCGCGAGACGGCTCAAGAAGTCAGAAGGCTAACGAATCAAGTATCCAATAGTATCGAATTTGGACAAGGCGATCTCATAGAGATCAAGGTAACTCATATGGAGCACCTTACAAGTACACCCGCTATCGTGTGAAGTTTTCCTCGCAACAGCCCCAATCCCAACCACGTTCAAGTTCGGCATTGACTGGAGTCCACCTGGAAGAGTGCAACCCGCCCCACCGACGGGTACACAAGGTGAGCAAACATTACAGCACGGAATCGGAGTACCTCCTCCATTAGTTAGTCGTCCGGGCGCCAGAAGAAAGTTGGGATGGACTTCTCAAAAGAGCGATCGCCACTCCACCACAACCCTCCACCCGGCATCTGTTCCTTCCCGCAAGACTGAGTGAGGACCCCCGGACGTGCGTCGATCACATACGTACTATAACTCCGCCGCTTCGTCCTTCGGGAATTTTGTGGGGTCAAACATGAAGTCCTCGTACTGAATGTCGGGAGCATTAACTCCCACTGCGGAAGGTGCCGTCGTGCCGTTCCGCACCACTTGCTCCCACTGATCTGGAATTGGAGCCTTGGACCACTTGCGCTGGAAAGATGGCCGCCTTAAAATCTCTGTAAAGGCCTGTTTAGTCGATACAATTTCCTTACTGATGTTAATGGTGATTCGGTGCCAGTCTTGATAAGAGCCGGCGCGTTATATAAACATCTTCTTAAACAAACGTAGTAAGCACGACGCCTCTACTCCTTTAATCCGCGGAAAGCGTTGTTCGGAAACCGGTAGATCCTTCAAATTTATCGGCATCTTAGTGTAGACCAAAGCGAAGAGCTCTCGAATAGTCAGTAGTCATGTCTCTATTTGCCTTTCCCTTGAGTGGCCCTTCATTTCCGCCACAATATTATGAATCACGTCGTACGGGGAAGGGGTGACTAGGAAGAACGTGGTGATAGTTTAGCCGCCGACTGACCCCCTCGGCTGTCTCCGGGTTCTTTCCACGAGGTGCATTCTACTCGTTGGTACTCCTCTAGGTCGTGCCTTTCGGTCTCGTCCCCAGCGCGTCTACATCCGGCCCTTTCTCCGCTGGTCCGTCGTTCCCGTGATTGTTTCGACCTGGACCCTACTGAAAGGCCCGGCGTTTGAATTGATGCGCAAATAATGCCTGCATGACAGCCATAGCGTTTCCAATGCCCCTCGAGGCAAGCAATCAGCGTGAGCGGCGGCGTTGTGCAATCTGTCCGTGGCTGTCGCGCTGCCATAGAAGCCTATTTGAGCTGGCGAATTCGTAGCATCTCCTCCAGCCCCCTCTTTGGGGGTAAGAGTTGAAGGCGGCCTACTGTCCGGCGTGCTACTATGGACTGAGCTGGTACCAGCTAAAATCGCCCCGTCCCTAAAGTCGAGGAACTGTGCAGTCTGTCAAATATTAGAGATTGCTCTACCGCAGTATGTTGCCAAGAGCGGGACCTCACCATTGTTTACATACAACAGATGTGTCGAGAGTAAACGTACAATTGAAAAATAGTGTGCCCCTTCTATTATCTGTATCATTTTCCGATCTCCGTCACTCAGCTAATCCTCACACCCGTAACTCTTTAAACACAAATTCAAGACTATAGATGGCTTGAGTATGGTACTAGCTTATGTTCTGTAGTCTCATCTTTTAATTTGACAATTTTTCCGCGAAGCCATAGGACCCTACAAATTGGAGAATCTCATTAATTTTGGCTCGCAGACAGCCACATTTGACCACCCCGAAACTCCCTGCGTGGACTTTTGTTTTCGATTTTTTTCGAGATTTTTTACATGCAGCCCTATAAATACTGTAAGTAGACGGATTAGGGTAAAAGATTCATTTTTTCATATGTACAAGTGCAAAAACGGCTGTCGTCACCCTAAACGGCATTGTTTTGCCTGTGTTTGTATTGCGTTTACGACGCAGTCAATTATACAAATCTATTAAAACCCATTACGTTTTGCCAAAACTATTGCAAACCACAGTAATTGGCAGCAGCTAAAACGTTCACCAACGTAAGTATCAGATGTTTACCATACGGTGCGACCGATACTTCGTTGGGGCTTATTCGGTGGCCTTCCCAGTCAGGTTCTTGCGATACACGTCCATGTATCAAAAGCACTTTCGAGCATGGCGGCGGATGGTAGTGAGAGACGGATGCAAGGGATGACGGGGCCATCTGCTCGAGGCCTTTGAACGTGCAGTCGCAATTTTTTCGAGCATGGCATTTGATTCTCGCTAGAAAATTTCAATGCAGGTTAGTTCGCAGTCGAACCTATTGTAAAACAATGTGATGGCCGGTTGCAGTGATAGTCTCTTCCGTAAATTCTTTTTGGCTTTTTTGACATTGAATTTGGATACTTTGTGGGCGCTGCAACAACCCTGATAGCCTGCAAGTGCTGTAGCCATTAGCCGGGGCGCGGCATGTTAGTGCGTGTTGACTGGTTCGTACATTGGCTGATGTTATAAACGTGCCAAATACGTGCTTATTGTGTGCAGTGCGACGGAAGCGTTAAAAAAGGCGATTTCGGTTGCGGAAACGGCGATAGTAATATTTGTTTGCGTTTTCAAAGTTGGCCAATGAAAGAACAAGTTACAGGTTACAGGTGGTGTTTACCGTATGCCTAAATACGCTTTGCAATTACTTATGGAACATCTGGACTGGCACGAACAGCATAGCCACACGACGCTGGCAGTTGCTTCGTCCAACGACCTTCAAATAGCACGAAAGTGCCATATCCATCGAGCGGTGGCCCGTGCAGTGATGTCACTCATGGGAGGGAACAATACCCGCAAGAGTGACGACACGCCATGGAAGCAGCAGCAGCAGCAGCTCAAGAGCTGCTCGCGCACGAAGCGCCGTTCACGCACTGGGCTCGCTATGTGGAGCTGCGCATTGGTCGTGCGTCTCGCGTTGTGGCCGTGGAGCAGGACCCCGACTCGTTTGTGCTGGGGGCGACCGTGTGGGACAGCAGCAAGACGCTCTTCCAGTTCATCGAGCGTCATCCCGAACGGTTCGAGGGCCTTATGTCTATCTGTGAACTCGGCGCTGGCTGTGGAGGCCTCGCGGGCATCGCCAGTGCGATCGTCACTCACGGACTGGCCGACGTCGTGCTTACGGACGTTGGACCGGTGCTCCCGTGGCTTCGACGCAACGTGCGAGCGAACCTGACGGATCGGGAGCGACAGCGCGTCCGAGTCGAGCAATGCGTGTGGTGCGATGCGAGAGGGGGAGAGAGGAGCGATCGTGCAGGCGCTGGCTGCTGCATGTTGATCACTGAAAGGGCTGTGTCGTGAGGGGCAGACGAGGTGCTGACTGGTGCTGTGGTCTACAGGGGCACGCCGGTGACGAGGCTGAAGGCGCCGTTCGACTGCCTCTTGTGTGCGGATGTCGTGTACGAGAAGGCGTGTGTCAAGCCGCTCGTGCAGTCTCTGCTGGCTCTGTCGCACCGTAAGACTGTGATCTTTGTGGCGAACGAGCGACGGGCGCCAGCGGTCCGAGCAGAGTTCATGCGGTACCTGGACACGTACTTCCAGTGGCAGGAAGTGCCGGCGGGAGCGCTCGAGGTCGATGGTCGGAAAGAGACGATCGAAGTGTTTGAGCTGAGACGCAAGAAGCGTCGCGTGCCGCGGGAGATGCGGATCGGAACTGCGTCAGAGGATTGGGACCATCACAAGGGGCTGCACGATGACGGAGATGGACAGGACACGAGTCCGTCCGATGTGTGGAACGATCTGCTGCGAGACTTGTCATCGGATCGTGCACATGGCAGCAAAGTGGGTGTCTGCGACGGCAGCAGCAGCAACGACGACAACAGCAACGACGACAACAGCAACGACGGCAACAACAACGGCACTTGTTAGCACAACGCAAGGGGCAGCACAAGTTACTGTTGACGCGCGTGCATGCAGCTCGACTGCCGCGTTCTTGACGTTGTTAGCTTCTGCGTCTGCGGCTGTGCCTGCGACGCTACAACTTATACCAGCGTGGCAAGTCTGTGCTACGACCGCTGTCCTCTCACTCCCACGTGAACGTCCGAATGGCTCCGCGAGGCACCGTCGTCTCCAGCGCCTTGCCGCCAACCTGCAGCTCAAAGTCGACCGGCTCCGTGTTCTCATTCATCACGACAAGCACCTTCCGGTTCTCCGGAGTCACAAAGGCAGCGGCCTGCACAAACGCATACCCGGCAGTCACGCACTGGTCCGTCGTCGACGCAAAGGACCGCATGGTGCCGTCTTCCGCGTCAAATCTCCACTGCTGGTGCGGCACGACCTCGTGTTCGCACAAGTCGGTGCTGATGCGCACGCCGTTCTCCGTGGACCCGTGGTTCAGTGAGATGCAGTAATCGCCCATGCGAATGCGGCCGGTGTCCATTTCATACGTCCAATGCTGCTGCGTGTATCTGCACTCCACGAGCAGTCCTTGATGTCCCTGCCACGGGATCTCCTTCAGATCGATGCAAAAGCCCGTGCCAGTCACTTCCAGCTTGCCATCGTCCGTCGGCCGCAACTGTTGACGCGAGCTGCCATCGCAAGCTGCCAGCATCGACGGATAGTCCACGAACAGTTGCGGATCACCCGGACGCGCAAACTTTGCTGCCACTTGCGTTTCAACGCGGCGTGAGCCCACAGGAATAAACTTGGAGAAGTGCTGGATGAAGTAGTACATGGGCTGGATGTAGAAGTCTGTTCCATCCTCGGTCAGAATGATAGGAGCATCGCACATGTTGGCCAAGTGATTGGGCCCCCCTTCGTGATCGAGCAGCAAGTTCCAGTCGACCCATCCAGCCACGTAGTTGTTCAGATCCGTCATGATGTCGTGTCCGTACCGCTGCGCACGGAACCACGCGAGGTCGCCGTGCCCCACACCGGGACAGTTGCAGCTCTCTGTCGCCAGCATGAAGCGGTTTTCATCCACAAAGTGCGTGTCGTTCAGACGCTCGTGGTACTCGACGCCATCCATGTAGCGCTGCTCGTCGTACCAGTGGAACGCCATGCCATCCACGTACTGAGCAGCAGTAGGGTGGTTGTATATCTCTGTCGCCCACTGATGGACACTGCCGCGATTGTGGTCAAACACCATGAGCACCAGACCGGGATGGTCCCGCTTCAGCGTCGGTCCAAGGAAGTTCCCAATGAACTCGGCCTGGTACTCGGCTGTGTACATGCACGACTCCCACGGCACCTCTGCCTGTGGCTCGTTCTGAGGCGTGAGGCCCCAGAACGCAATGCCGTGTCTCTTGTACGCCGTGATGAACTTGGAAAAGTACAGCGCCCACGTCGCCCGAGCGTCGTCTTTCAGGCCAATGGGCTTGGCCGAGTCCAGCATGCTGGGCACTGGGAAGTCGAGCGTCGTGCGCTTCATCCAGGCCGGGGGGCTCCAGGGCGCGAGGAACAGCTTGAGCGCTGGCTGTCGCGCGAGCGCGCGCCGAAGGAACGGGACCAGCACGTGCTGGTCGTGCGTCACGTTCTCGTCAAAGTGCACGAGCTCCGAGTCGTTCACGACGTCGTCAAAGGTGTACGACGCCCGCGAAAAGTCGGACGAGCCCATGGGCACGCGGCCAAACGTGTAGGCGCTGCCTCTCTCCGGGTCAAAGTAGAGCGTCAGCACCTCGTCCTGTTTCTCGGGCGACAGTCGGTCGAACTGCAGCGCCGCTGCCTCCGTGAACGCGCCGCCAAAGCCCAATATCCGCTGGAACTGCCGCGTCACGTCCACTGTCACGACCGACGCAGCGGTCGACGGCCCGTGCGGCGTCCACTTGAGCCCCACAACGGGCGCCATCATATCCGTCGCGTTGTCTGCGTACGCGCTCTGGACACACGAGAGGTCCGACGCGGCGTCCCGAGCCGCAGGAGCCGCTGCGGGGGACGGCGTCGACTGGACGGACGCAACGGACGCGTCGGTGGTGGGGCCTCTCGAGACGCCGACGAGCGCGGCGACGGCGCAGAGGCCGCAGACGCTGACGCACAGGAGCGTCCACTTGAGTACGACGCGGCGGCGGGCGGCGCGGGCGCTCAGGCGCTCGTCGGTCGCTAAGGAGGACGTGCCATAGGCCGTCGAGGAGGCGCTCGTCATGGGGTCAGCGGCCGACGTGTGCAATGCGAGTCAGGAACTGGTCAGTGATTGGCTGATAATGGGTGAGGACTGGAGGGACAGCGACGAGAAGATCGTAATGTGGATCGGGGGTAGGTGAGCTAATTGTCAGCAGAAAATACAGTGGTTGGTTGGTTTTGAAGATCATGAAAAATAGATGTCAATCTTTGAAGATGTGTATGGTTGAACAAAAAGTGGAATAGCGAGGGGATTCTTGGATGGTGGTCATAGTGGTGTAACTTTTAGCTGCATCGGGTTTTATGGTGATTAGTCGATGTCGCAGTGGCTTAATGGAGAAGATATGCTAGAAAGCACTTCTTTGCAACAATTTCCTGTAGGTCAAGCTGCTTTATCGATACATCTGCCAGAAATTTGTGCGCATGTATATCGATCAACTGTGTCAGAGTGTGGTGATACTGTAATTAGGCTCAGGCGCACTAAGAACAAGACGAACACAACTTTCAGACTAGAGAAACTCCAACCAAGGGGCAACGAAATAACCGACATGTGGTAGTTGCACTGACCCATTCAAGCAGCATGTGGTGGTCAAAAGTATGAAGAAACAACATACAACAATGCGCTGGCGAGTGGTTCAGGCTATGAGCTTGAGAGCACAGTCATACTTTCGTCCATCAAGTCAGTCGAGACAATCGACCATCATTGCGATGATTATTCGACACAGTATTGGGAAATTTACCTGATCATTGGACGGCCTTTTTATTTATTGCTCGCTACTTTCGTCTATCTACTCGACATACACATCCAAACCCAAGAATTGCAAACTTGTGTCTCATCATCGACATGATCGTCCATATATGCACCCACACATGCACTACTCATCGTACAGTATTACTTGACGTCCATCACTTGGGACCTGTGCTTAGTGGAATCTGTAGCTTATCTCCATTCTATCGCCGACGATCGGTCTTGTGATGTTTCCGCATTTTCTACCCTATAACCCACTATACTGTTTTTCGGTACTCCTATTGGCCAACCCTGCATCCATCTGGGGAGAAAAATTCGCCATGATCATCGAAATCAAGGTCGTTTCTAGTGATCAGTGAACAAAGGTATACGTTTTAGGTTTTACTCTCGTATAGCGTAAAACGTTTCGTTGTAGCAAAAAGACAAAATTTTGTCTCCGTATTAAAAAGTTGATTAACATCAGTTTCTCTTTTGCTCTGAGTAAGACATGTGTCCTGTAAAGGTGTCTTAGATCGCCGAAGTTAGTCAGCCTTAACGGGAATACTCTTTTGAGCCCTTTGTGATGGCGAAATGATAAATTGTTGGGCCCCCTAAACTAGTACCAGAAGCTCTGTAAGCTTGTGGACTCGTAGAGTCGTGTTCTTATAAAGAACTAAGTTGCTCATAGCCTAAAGACTTTCTCTGTCAATGATCTGTAGCAGCTTCGCTACACAAAGCATGCCAATCATTTTTTTTCCAAAGTTTCACATTTTCAGTCTGAAAATTGCAAAAGACACTCAAAATCTTACGGGAAACACTCTTACCAAAAGACTGATAAGTCCTTGTACCATGACAGTACAAAGGTGTGTGCTCCTTATCTGACGTACACGATACTTGCAGCGGAATCGAAGAATATGAGCAAGGAACATCTCAGGGTTTGGGAAAAGGTATAGATAATATAGCTAAGCCTTTGTAACAACAAAATCGCTCATCTTACTCAAACAACATTTACGTACGAGCTCCCAACATGGATTCTCGCTCACCACCCATATGCACGTGTCTAGTAGCGATTGGTGGTTTAGTTAGTTCATAGCAAGGCCTAATTTAACAAATAAGTGTATCGGCTGAATATATTAACTTTGAGGGTAATAATCTTTAATATTACTCCCAAAAGTTATTTATGTACATATTAGTTATATACGATCAGAAAGAAAACATACAGTGGCACACATCGTTCCAATAACATGCAACGGACACCCCCCCACTACACAAAAGGTAAAAAGCAACACAAATCTAGAATACATGATAAAAACAACTGAAAAGCAACAAATGAAATACAAGGTATACTAATATATAATTATGCACCTCTGATGCATACCATATGGTCGATGACACGCGAGTTTACAATTATAGGTACACATATACGACGGTCTTTTTCATGTTGTGGCATATGTTACAATCCTGATGTATGCGTCATCGTTCATGTTCCAAAAAAGAATAGGCGCGTTGACGCGTCAGTCGTATGCTGAAAGTGTTTTTTTCCAATAGATTGTCAGTTCATATTGGAAATCTTTGTTAAAATCGTATAGTGTTACAGCGGGACAATGTTTAGCTGTATACACTACGCTATCAACTAATTTGCATAGGATGAGACAGCGCGATGTCAAATCGTAACTTCACAATGATGTCAACGATGTTTTCGAGCAAACTCGATGAGCCATACGTCGACCTGGTCAACAATATCAGAAACTGCACCGACAAGTTTACGGAAATATTTGGTGATATGTAAGTAATCAAGCGGTTGCTCGAGGACAAACGGAGCGCAAGGGTCGCTGATAGAGCATGCAAGACTTATTGAGCGTTATGGCTGTCACGAAAAGGAGACTTCTACAACTTTAGTGGTAATGTTAGGGTTGATCAGAATGCATCCAAACAGTAGCTGTGGACAAGTGCAATAATCATGTCTGCGTCGGACGACATTGTGTAAGCAAGGAAAATTAGTTTTTTGGCTCACTTCACCTTTTTCATTCACCATACTAACGCATCCTTGTGCTCAACATAATCGCGCTACCTGCGATAGCATGATATAACAAGCACGTGCCGCTAAGAATGTATATAGCAAAGGAACATACTGCAGTATCATCGTCAGTATTTACAAAGTAGCATTGGGAAATGAATGGATATGCTCGATCAATATGCCCTAGTCAATCGCAAAAGATTAGATCAGGTCAATTCGCTACGACATGTGAACAAATGGCAAAGATATGATCAATTGTTTGAATCATCTTCAGCACATGTAATCTGTCTTGTACTACACATTATTGGTGTACCTTGTAGTTTCTCATCTATTCGTGCATTACCAGCTTGTGATTATCAAGCACACTTGATCAATAGAGCCCAATTACTCACTCTGTTTCGGCGTCAATATAAGGCTGAAAAGGCTTCCATACATGTAGGATCTGGAGTTGGAGGAGATTTTACACAAGACGATAAATAATATCATCGTCGGTGTCAAAAAGCATGCACCGCGAGTTTTCTGATTACCGAGACGAAACCAAAATGTCTTTATGTGATCCTACACACGTCATGTGTACTTTATTGCTAGTGCATGTAAAACGACGGCATTTAAACCTTTACCAGAATCAGCAGGTTGTTTTGCAGCAACCGTCGATAATTTAGTACGTTCGTTATTCGTGTTCCGACGACAATTTGTACGAGCGTAAAGTAGCGAGTACAGCATCACAGGCGTTCATGAAGCGTTTAGTATAGAGTGCAGCACCACACACATGCATGGTGTTTAGCTTCGGTGATCATTACGTTTAATGTATGGTAGCTAGAACTGACAACACATACCGCAATACGACATCACATCCCATTCCATCACATTCATAAAGTAGCAGCAACGCCACGCTTTATTATAGCTGTATCTGGACTGAGAGAGCTAGACGACATGCGATTATATATTATGGCTTAACGATAACAATTGTTAGCAAATACACCTTCTGTAGTAGTGTTCTTGATCCATTTGTCAAGAAAAGATAATCAGCAGGAACACGATCGTAGCTATCCTTACATTAACATGGCGTGGGTTGCAGCAATATGTATGCGACTATCACAAAACTGATGCAGAGTATTACCCACGCAGGACTCTCGACGTAACCGGTATATTCAGCAACATTACTGTTACATCATAACTATGCAATGATTACTTCGTGGTCTTTCATGCTCTATATAAATCAGCACACACACATGTGTATGCACCCGTAGCTTAAGTGTCGCTTCATCGGTATCTAATAAACAAGTCATCATATTATCAATCCAACGATATTCGATCAAGGTCCTGAGTCAATCTCGGTGTCTTGTATTATTCATCGTCCTAATCGCAATTCACTAACATTTCCACAAAATTGTGAGCTGGATTATAAGCTCAAAGACAACGCACTTGTTGCCTCCGAATGGGTGACATTAAGATCAAGCTGAGTGCGTAGACGACGATCGCCTTAGGTAGGAAATGCTCATCCGCTCATCGGAAGAGAACACTTCTTTTGAACATCATAACTCGACATAATGTAAGCTTGGAGAAACAAAGAGAGGACCTGAGATCTCAAATTAAAAATGTGCAACCACAACGGAAACTTAAATACCCGATACATTCGCTAATATGATCATTTCGATCGTTGATGTGATATTTTTATTGGTGCAGATGACGTCCAATATTGTGTCGATTGACGATAAACGTCCTCGCTATACCGCATTGCTTAGTAAACAGGTGAGATGACCTAATGGAGTTTTGATACCACATGGATGCATCGATAAGGCGAAGGGGTTAAACTCTGAATATAAAAATGTGTTGCTACGAACACGTTGACCTATTTGCGTGTATTACAGATTTGCACTCATCAGTTAGAAAAGTTGATATTGCATTAGCTTCGCTAACGGTTTAGTAAGGCCTTTTACATATAGTCAGATTGTACTAACCACGCTAATCCACTCCAGGCTTTGGCGAACAAATGGTACCATAAGAGGACGATTACTTTATACGATATAGACGCCGTGAATAAATAGTAGTCATGAGAAAATAATCAACTCGACAAATCATTCACTGAAGTATTGATCAGGATTGGAACAACCTTATCTTCAAATGTTCACCTCTCCATTATGTACGTTGCGATAAGCTTTGGTGACACTTCTCGAAAACGTCACCATTTGTAGGAAGTTTTTCTCCTTAACGCTGGTAGAAGATGAGAAAAGGAAGATCAAGGATGGTGTGTATGCAATGGTTGCTGGGTTATACATGT